TGTCTCTCCTTCTATTGTTGGACTCGCTGTCAATTCACTGTGTTGAAATAGATTCAGGCCTTTGATGTATCATTGTTGTCAGTGCTAACCAAATCACTGCTGTGCATGAAAGGAACCCCCTCGGGTCTCCAAAAGAGACAGCAGACCTTTCTTTCCCTACCTCTCTCAGAGCCAGATATCCACAGAGGTGTTAAGAGTGAAAAGAGGAAAACATGGCTGCATGTTTAACAGGGCTTTTGTGTACCTTAACTCCACTTTTATTTTCCTGTTTTCGAACAAAAGGAATTTCATTCTTGTCATTTCTTTTGGCTGTTATGCCACTTCTCTCGGCTCAGAGCCCCTTTGTTACTACAAGGGTATGTTTGAAATCTATCTTACAGAATTGAAAGTGCGTGCGTGTTTTCCTCTGAGTGGATTATTTTACCTTGTTCTGTTTGTGCTTTCACTCCCAACAATAGGACTGACAAATGGAGATACCTCAAAAGCCTCCTCAAAATGACATGACAGATTTTCCACCTCATTTTAACACAGCAAACTACATTACCGGGACATTGTCACTGTTTGCTTTTGTAGTGGCACAGTCAGCTGTGATCACAGTAGACATTTAGCTTTTATTGTAGCCCTTTTAAATCTGTGTTTTGTCTCTGTCTCTGCATCCACCTCTTGCTCTCATCCCTCGTCCATGAGTCAGGGCAGGAGATGTGATAGTTGCCTGGGAGTGTATTGAATTGTATGGTAATCGCGCTGAGAAAAGGGCACATGGTGTGGTTATGAGTCTAATGAGACATGGAGGAAGCAGGCTGACCTCTCCAACCGGTGGGCTGCAGACATTCATCATCCCAAACACACGCTGGTTGAAGGGGTGAGGGAGAGAAAGAGTGAACTGCCCTCTGTTGGGAGCAACATAACACTGCAGGTGGGCCAGAGGATTGAGTTAAAAAAGGGGGGAGAAAAAGAAAAAACAAGCTAAGACACAAAATAATAACGACAGCACAGGAAATGACAAATTGAATAGGGAGCGTAGGGGAGATGTATTGTAGTGTTCAGCACTAAGGCCCTGATTGTTTGCAGCCTCATTGTAAAAGCACGACTGCTGCAGATAATTGATTTGGCTGTAATTGTACACCACATAATCATGGCAGTCACTACCCCTGAGCCCAGCATGTTGTCAGGCAGTAGAGGATACCCCACTGAGGTTCTGTAGCACTACGAAATTCTGTCTGAGAAAGAAATTGAAAAGGAGAAGAGAGTGATAGATAGACTTGAGTGATGGATGGACTTGAGTCCCAACGAGTGACTGGTACTCACAATCTACCAGCCGTAGACCTAAAAGTAGGGATTTTCAACAAATCAGTTAATATAGGGAACCATATAAAACTATATACGGCGTAGGTTGTGTGAGATGTTAGCTCTCAGCAGTTCCTCCGTTTTGCTTTTGATGCTAAACTTTGATGAAAAGGAAATGGATTTCAAAGAGCAAAAATTAGCCTACAAATTTCTAAACGGCAACCCACATGAAAGCATGGTTAAAAAAAGTGCAAACATAGTGTTTCTAATGTAACAGTTATTTCGGGGGGGGTTCCTGGTTATGTCCTTACGACTAATTTTGCAGAATATTTGGCAATGCTTTTGATTTTCAATATTTTTATTAATCCCTGTGCAGTTTTTGGACTTGAATATTTCTCCACTACAAACCAAGGTAAATATAGAACTGTTACCATTTTTAAACTAACTAACATAAACTAACAAAAATGTAAAGTGGGGACAGTTGGGACAGGGGAAGATGGGACAGAGAGGGAGGGTAATGAGAGTGTGTTACAAACGTTCATTCCCATCTTTTGCAGAAAGATAGATGTTTTTATTGCATATTGAAAAATGTTGCCCAATAAATATTAAAATGATAAGACTGGCATTGTTCTATGGTTTTATTACAAGTAAAGTTGGGGTATGTGATTTTAATCCAATACACTTTTTGTCAAATTCAGCGAATATCTCCTTACTTTCTGTTAGCTTCCTGTATTGTGTGCTGATAAAAATCTTCGATGACCATGAGCCGCAACATTCCCTGCTTGAATCCTACTGGGAACCTTTGTTTCAGATTTTGCTTCCTAATTTGTTGGTTCTCTACTTAGACTGTCTGAATAAAGGCATTAAATGACCCTCAAAAATAATAATTTTAGAAGTTCCCATTAAAAGACCAAAAACAGTGAGGATGTATCCGAATACTTAACATTTTCCAGATTCTGCTTCTGGTGCACAGCCCCACCCCTATTTTTTACAATTGGAGATTTAAAAACTGGTCGCAAATATATAGTTTAAACAGGAGCACATATTGCATTTGTTGGGAACTATTTTCAGCTATAAAAATAAAACGGATTTGCTGCTCTCAGTACTGAGTACATTGACTGAAAATAAACTACACTGACAACAATCATGTGAGGGATTTATGTGGTTATTTTAAACTATTTTAGACAATAATGGAGCTCTATAGCAGAGAAGATTAGCTACGTGTAGTAGTAAACTACAAAGTATTGTTTTGCTTGTGCTTTATGTAAAAACTGGGAGAGGAATTATTGTGAACAGTATCACAGGCTAAAGAACCACCAAAAAGTGTGCTCTACAATACCTGTAGTATACCTGTATAATTTCTCTGTGTTCAAACAGAACTGAGTCACAACAGAGCTCACTGTGCGGACAAATTCACTCTGATATTCATCAACTATCACCCCAAACCAAAGCTTCTAAGTGGCAATTACATTTACATTTACTCATTTGGCAGACGCTTTTATCCAAAGCTTACATTTGAGAAACAACCTACAAGCATCAACAAAGCAACAAAGCAATACAGCACGAGATCTACAACTGCCAATACATACTAGTAAGAGCAGCAATAAATACAAGTAAGAGCTGGAAACATATTAAAGCAACTACCATAAACTTTACTTATATTTTTATTTTGGCCCCTGTGGACAAAGGTGTTTCCATCACCTTGTGTTGTAAAGATACTGGATTGGTTTTAGAAGCAAGTAAAAGAAAGACGTAACTTAATTTTCTTTTTAAACACAACAACTATTGCATGATGCATAGTGTCCATTGTTTTAGTACCGTTAACACCTAGGTCACATGTAAGCCTACAACTAAACGATCCAGTAATAGTAATTTTGTTAAAAAAGCTAAAAAATTAAAATAAAAAAGCTAAAGTTTTAGATTTGTTTTTAGTAAGTTCCCTAGCCATGACCACAAAATATAATGTAAATAATAAATTTTTCTGTCCTCCTGCTTCCTTTTAACTGGCTACTCAAGTACTACTCAAAATTCTGTCTGGGAAAATGTAAAAATGGGCTTTTCAAGTCTACGCGCTGTAAATTCAACCCAGTGCCATTTAGAATAACTATATAAAAAATTGCCAGTCTTCTCGCTGATGGTCTCGTTTGCTTATGCAGTTCATATAGGTTTTAAATTGAGACCATTTCATAACCAGTTAAAAACTCCTTGTAGTTGCTTTAAGTTTAATTTAGAACATTATCCACTGAAACAGAAAAGCTTTTTCGCCTGACCCAGAATTGCTATTCAAGCTGTTTTCATCCACACTGATTTTCAGCATCCAAAACTGTTCTCCCTTATACTTTTCTACCAGGGTGGATCCTTAAAGCTGCACTTTGAAGTGAGGCTAGCGTCTGAAGTACGAACACATAAGGGGGGAGGGGGGAGTTTTAAATACAGATTGGGCCAAAATATGTTCAAGGAAAACCTTGGATCTTACCCCCAACAACCCCCTCCTCATGCTCAGTTTGGTCTCTCTCCAGCCTTGTTTTAATTGTGTGACAACCAAACAACAAACATTCTGCTCAGGACAGAAATATAAAGAGTGTGGTATACATTAAATATAACTTTATATGAAAGCCTAAGACACATCTATTGACTCTTTGAATTGCCTTTAACTTTTTGTTTTTACTGTCATCTGAAGAAGTAGTGTTACACAACATATGAGCCACTTCTAGATCCCCAAGTGTGAATTGTATTTTTCAAGACAGCATGTATATCTGTGCGTGGGTTGCTGGAAAAGGTGTTACATCGAGTTTTAACTGTGACAAAGAACACCTGAGGGAGAGGCAGCAGCTTGATCAAACCTACTGCTCAGCAAATCAAATAAGTTTGGGAGGATTTTATTTTGCATTCATTGTTTTTTCTGCTTTGTTTGCATCTCCATCAGCTGAGAGAAAATTATTTGCTTGGCCCTGGCAATTTCTGCAAGAGAAGCTCCATATTGCAAGAGGAAAAATAAATTGCCTTTTTTTTGCCAACATCATGGCTGTGTGTGGATGTGAGAATGAATTCCAATAGTGCTGCGATTAGTTTCATATCAGATTGTGAGATGAGAACTACATTGCTTATATTCTAGGGAAAATAGCATATCCCTATGCAACATCTGCATAAAATACAGCAGAACCATCCTCTACTTATAAGATATTTGTTAGACGTTTTTTTACCTGATTAAAATGTACAATTAATTCTAAGTTGCTGTTTTTCACTCCTTTTTTCCCCAGCACTAAACACTCCTGTTAATGGATGATAAAGACCAATTTCCCTTCTGCTCTCCCCCTCCCCCCACCACCACCTTCTTTAACCCAATTTCTCTTGTCTGTATCTGCTCTATTTTTTACTTGTCCTCTTTCCACCTTCTTTTTCCACTTTTCACTCACTTTCTCATTTTATCTCTTCATTTATAGTCTCACTGTCTTTATCTTCTTCGCTTTTGCACTTTCTTGTATTGTTCATATAATTCCATGCTCTTGTTTTGCCTTCCTTTACCTCATCTATTTTCCGGCTACTTTCTCAACCCTTTTGACTCCCAGCTTATTTCTGTCTTGTTATCCTTTCTCTTGTGCCTTTCTGATCTCTTCTGCCAGCCACCTATCTGTCTTTGCCTCTTCTTTCCTCCCATTTCTTTTATCTAAATTCACTCATGACACACATCTTTTCCCTCTTTCCCCTTGCAGAGTGGAGGCAGCAGGCTACCAGCGAGTGTTGCAGGTAGACCTGGAAGTGAACGGGCTGATGGTGACTCAGGGAGGAAGGGAAGTGATGTGGCAGGTTGAGTATCCACTCACCCGCACCTTGACCAGTGAGGTGCCGACCCTCATACGCCTGGCACCACAGGACCTGGGTGGCATCGTGCCACTAGCCATGGTGAGGTGGGGGGGGACACTTTAGTGTGTTGAAATCACTCATTGTGACACTGTAAAGTCTGTATCAATACGGGTTAGGCAGCATTAAAACATGAGCAGGCAGAATACTTGTCTCCGATTGGCTGTTTTTTGTGTCTTATTTTCAAAATAGTGGTCAAGTCTGGCATTGCATCCTCCTTTTGGGTGTACCAGAGACCTATCAGAAATGGACAAATGAAAAACGTACCCAAACCATACAAGCATACATTTATTTTGTTTTAAAAAAGGAGATCTGATCCAAGAAGGACAGAGTGACACTTGGTCCGGATTAACCCCAGGAAAATTTAATTCGACCCAGAATGGAAAGAGAACACCAACCTCTCCATCTCCACCCACTCACATGTTAAGTGATGATGACGACACACCACATGCTCAAAGCAAATCTGTTTAATGCTGAAAATGGCACTTGTTATATTGTTATATATCATAACATTAGAATAGCAGCAATTAACTTTTGTAGTTGGTTGAGGTGGAGCACATTTATGACTGCTGTTATACAGGCTAATGATTATTTTCATTATTGATTAATTTCCTGATTATATTACCTATTAAACAATTGATTGTTTGGTTTGTATAAATTCAGAAATAGAAAAAACTCAAAATCATTACGAATAAATTTAAATTATTAATTATTAAATTTGAGAAATAAGATCCATGGAATATTTTTGCAGTTTTGCATGAAAATGACTTTAATAATGAATAACGATTATCAGTCTACTAATTTACTAATAGACTAATTGATCCAGCACTACTTGTACATATTCCTTTGTAGTTTAACAAATAGTAATAGAAAAAGTACAATATTTCACTCTAGTTTAAAATAAAAATAAAATACTCAAATACAGTATTAATAAATAAATTTGACGTACTAGTATGAAGTACAGTACTTGAGTAAATGTAGTTCAATTCCATCACTTGACCTGCAGCAACACAGCGAGACACAACTAACACAATTAGACTCATTTGATTGGGTCTTGGTTACTAGGAACCAAGCTGACCTGTAAAGATCTCTAAGAAAAAAAATACAGAAAGTATTTGGTGTTCCTGGTTCCTTTTGGCTGCATTTTTTGAGTTAGTCAGTGGTCCTAAATACAACTGAGCATCTTTTCCACTTGCTGAAGATGAGAACAAAGGCAGAAAGCAGATCATCGGCAGAGAAGATACCAATGTCTTCTGATGTCTTGCAGTCACAGACTTCAAGTTAAGAGCTCATGAAATGCATCAAATGCATTACTTTTTACTGAATATGACTGTGTATTAGGGATATTGTAGAAACACTAAATATATATATTACGGCCTCCTGACTGGAAACTGAATCACAAACTGGCATGGGATGTGCAAAACCCAGGACAGGAGGGCTCTGCAGTGGGTGATTAATACGGCTCAGAAGATCATTGGTACCCATCTACACAGCAACAGTGATATCATTGAGGTGAGGAGCCCATGCAGAGCCCAAAGGATACTCAAGGACAGTGCCCACCCAGCCACAACCTGGTGACCCTGCTGCTGTCTGACAAGAGATACAGAAGTATGCGCTGTCATACCACCAGACTTCAGAACAGTTTCTTCCCTCAGGCTGTAATACTCCTTATTCATCCTCAGCACCATGTAAACTAGTTTTATTTAAATGACTTATTATTTATTCATCCATTGACTGTATATATTATTTGTTTTTAGTATTTGTTTTTGTGATTAGCATAAAGGGAACTTTTAACTTAATCTCGTTATACAAACCTGTATTGTGAAATGATAAATATGACAATATGAACAAAAAATGTTATACTGTATTTTTGATATTGGACATGCAAGCAGGATAATATTCTCAATGACTAAGAAACATCCTCTGCTCTTTGTTGAGAGCTTCCTAACTTTAATATCAGGGGTTGTTTTTTCTTAACAACATTGCTGTTGTGGATTGTCCCTTGTTGTGAGCCTTTGACCTCTGCATGGTACAGTAAGAAAGAAGTCCTGTCTATTCTACAGCAGGTTTGTCCAAATACTATTAATGGTAGGCAGGCTCAAGTATTTTTAACATAAAGTTTGCACTTTTCAGTAGTCAGTAATCTGGTTAATAGTGGTCTCAGAGTTTGCTGAAGTTAATTGAGTTTGGATTTAGACTGTCCGAACATGGATGAATTGGCAAGTGGCTTCAAATTGCTAATTGTGTTATGATAATGACTATGTAAATAGTTTTTCCAAAATGACAGAAAAAGCATTCCATATGCTGGAAAGAGATAGGAATAGTTTTAATTTTCCTCGCTGATTACGGGTTCTTAGAAATTGAATGCCCTCAAGCACTTTACCAAGGCAATTTGGTGAGGCAACAGTTCACCACTGATTTATGGTTTCTGGCCAGTAGAGTAGCCTTGAGACTTTGACTGCTAGATGAATGCATGAATTCCACAGGACTTGATTTAACCACCTATTTGTTGATACCAATGACAAAAACAGAAGACAAAATACTGTGCAATAACAAAACTTAGGTCCAAAATAAGTTGGATAAAACCGAATTATGTATATAAAATGCGAGACCAGATCAGATTTCCTGACAGCAAAGGCTCAGTTATCTTTAGTTGATTTAAACATCTATTTAAATATTTTGTCACCAAATTCATTGCTGACACTTGTAGAGGTAAGTGTCTTGGAAATTTCTAGGGCTGCCCCCAACTAAAGATTTTTATAGTCGTTAGTTCAAGCCATTAGTTGACTAGTCGTCGCACATTTATGATTTTAATTTAATCATTTCAATATATATTTTTGGGGGGCATCAGAAAATTGAACATTGTTAGAACCGTGTCACTTCATAGAGAAATGCAAAACTGAAATAATGAGCCTTTTAAAATATACATTTTACAAGGGGCAGGAAGCATCATTGTTCACTGGTGGCTGCTTTGTACATCCATGAATACATCCATGAGCAGTCCGCACTAGAAAATGACTTCAGCATTCAGTGTGAAAAAAGGTCTGTGTTTCAATGGTGTTTGAGGTTGTTGGGGTTAACTAACTCACCAATGAAAACTTCTTCAACCAAGACTTTTCTCATCGGCTAATGGTTTAGTTGACAATTAGGGGGCAGCCCTAGAAATTTTAAATGCTAAGTCAGGGAGTGTGTCATGCATGGCAAACAATTGCATTTGCTAAGTTGTCCCTCAGACAAACAGCTGCGATCTAGCGCTAACAAACTCATAATCACAAACAATGAAAATAGACTCATCTTTTGTGAAGGAAGGGACCTTTTTAATGGTGAATAGGATTGACCAAATGACCAAATAAATAGGTTAGGTTGAATATCAAAACATCAGTAGTAGAGGAGAGTGGTGGTTCAAAATAAAGAAATCAAGTAGAAAAACCTATTCAGTCTGAGGATTTCTATATTCTTACTGTTGTGAAAATTAAGACCCATCATCGGAGGGTTTGTAGAAGTATACATGCGGTGCAATGTGATCTGAATTACAATGAAATGAATTGGGAGCATATGCAGAAGGACAGGAAGGGCATTTTTTCGTTGAATTTTCTTGATGTGGGTGGATTTTATAAAATATCAACATTTCAAGGCGACAAACTTCAATAAAAGTTTAGACAAAGACAATTTAGTTTTGCCTTGAGTTTTTCCAACTTAAACATTTCTTTCAACTTATTCTGAGTTAGAGTAACTTTTTACATTGTCATAACTTTGACTTTTTACTTTTGGCCAAGTAAAAGTGATTTTACATTCGTACTTGTAAGGTTAAAGCAACTTAAAGTTGTACAACAATTAAGGCAAACCTTGAAACAGCAGCATTTTGCACATGCTGACAATTAAATAGCACTGTAAAGAAAATGGTATTTCTCTTATTGTCCTAACTGTCTGGTGGAATACAGTGAAACACCAAAAATGACATTTGCTGTGGTTGGAGATGCTCTCTGTATTTTGTCGTGTGTGCAATAATGATCATTCATGGTTGATGAGTGAATTCAAATTTTAATTAGTACACTGTAAATCTAAAAATTCAAAAGTCAACAAATACTGGATTAAACTGGATGTTAGTAGCTGACATCAATCTCCACCTTTGTAGCAGGACTTGTAGGTGGACTAGAATCATTGCTGGTAATCAACCGTGCTTTTCTGTGTACAGACACTGTGTACAGACAGAATCTGTGCACAGACACCTCTGTTCAAAAAGACACTCATCTCTCTCTGATCGCCACTGGCCTACACTCCTACAGAGAAGCACACACATGCACTCATACAGTCTGCCAAACATGAAATACAGGAGTCACTGCTGTTTGACTTGACAGCTGCTGTAAACTGTCCATTAGTACGGCACACTGAAACCGTGACAATTGTGTTAATAGCCCTAACAAGAAAGATTGAAGGTAGAAATATCTTAAAATGTAAAAAGACAGGAGAAAAGAGATGGGAGAGAATAAGAAAGGGCATGTGGGAAGCAGGCAGCTTTAAACAGAAAAAAGTGGTGAGTGAGGTTTTGCTAGTCTGCCAAATATGTTGTTACCAGAGGATTATTTCTTAAACCTGCAATCACTGCATAAAAGCAAGAAAGTTCAGCACTGGATATTCATCTCACAGCATGGACAAAGCCCAACATTTCAGAATAATAACACAGTGCTATTTGTATTGTCGTCCAATCGATGAATCACAATATTGCGTCTTCTGTGGCTAGGCTGGATACTGCAGTTCAATACTGACTACACTAAAGAAAACACTTATCTTAACAAGTAATTTAGCATCCAGTTCAAACTTAAATTTTTCGGAAACTGAGAGAAAAATTCTGGCGTTGGGATGATATAATTACACTTACACAGAACAGAAGACTGATGCTCTAATATAAGGAAATAACACTCTATGCTGGAAAATCCCATTGGTAACAAGTTGAAATATACGTTTTGAGCATTCAGTAACAGATTCAATGGCATATCCAGATGAAGAATTTTTGTAGTATATCTTTTAGAGACTCTGTCCCC